ATGGAGAGTCATGACCTCCTATAAAGCATTTGTAAACTGCTTTAAGAGCTGTAACACTGGAAGGAGGTAGATAAAAAATAGTGTCTCAAATAACATCAAGTGAAAACCTGTTATATGTTACTTTCTTTTCTGTGATTTAACTTGTCAAATATTCAGTAAAAAAAAAAGGAATGTACTTCAAGCAAACATTAAAAAGTTGTGTAGGATTTAAACCTGCAAATTCACAGAGCATAATATAGTGCTGAACCACTGCTAAAATTGCTGTTTTCTACAAAAAGAATAAAAATGAAGGTTTGCAAGCTTACCAAAGGCACAGTGCAGAATCTAGAACAAAAAGAGAAACTGAAATTACTAACATTTCAAATGAAGCAATTCAGAAACAACGCCTAATTCTACCATAAAAGCTTTAGATTCCATATTGGTATTTCAAATATTAAGCCATATTCAGCGCTGCTACCCAAGATAAATAGCAGATAAATAGCAGACTAAAAGCTCCTTCACTGCAATACATTCAGCATTTGTGTGATGTACTTGTAGAGTTACATTTACCTCCAAGTTACCTTACAAATGCTAATGAAAAAGCAGGCACCCAGAAAGAACTGTTCAAAGGCTGCTTTGTTTCTGCTAAACAAAAAACCGATGAGTGTTTTGAGCAAGACCACTGCACGTACCTCTAGCAAAGCTCCAGTTTGGAAGAATTTCAGGGGCTTTTCTATGGAGTAGTAAAGGCTGTGGTAGCTACCTTTAGCCAGGTATGCTCGAACTAGCCCAACGGCAATCACAAGCCACCTGAAAGAGAGAAACAAGGTCTAAGATAAGGAGGCATTAAGTAGAGCATAAATACAAAGAAACCCTTGACACTTCTCTCAATACATGGCAAAGCAGCAGATACAGAACTGTGTTGAAATACACCAACTTTTTGCCTACCTTCTGCAACTTTGGAGTGCAACACACAAAACATTCAATAGCTGGATGCTCTGCAAATCTATTAAATTAAATACTATGTTTTTTAAAACATCCTGCAGCATCAACATGATGACAGTTATCTTTAACACCTAGATTTACTTTTTAATGAGCTGTATTTTAGTTATGGAAGGTACTCATGAAATTTTAAACAAGATTGGCACCACATTTTGTTTAGCTTAAGCAGAAAACCATTTACTGTGAGTCAAGTCTCTCTCACTGTACTATGATTTAAAGAACTACGACATAAGCAAGCAAGAATCAGAAAGCAACCTTAATGCTTCAGTTCCAAGTAGACCCTTAGGCTTTATCATAGACCATCCATTCATTTCCACAATGTACTTTATGAGAGAATTATAAATAAGTAACTGCAAGACAACTGGGCCTGCCTATATAACTTCAACTTCATTATGAAGAATGTGACCTGCTAGCCCTGCTCACTGACTCCTCAGCTAATTTAGGAAGTAAATCTGAAAATCTTTACTGGCAGTTCCCTGGCTTTTCACTGCCTGGATCTCCCTCGGGCTGCCCTTACCTACTCGGGATACCAGCCCACCTCATTTCCACCACCTTCCAAAGCCAGAAGTGCTGTTACAAAGGTAACGCTGAGTCCCTGGGTGTCTCTGCTAACACTGGTGCACCTCACTGGAAGTATCTGCAGACAGAAAGCGCGCAACAGCCTTTTACCCTTTGAAAGAGAAAATTGCAGCTGTGGTTTTGGAAAGGAATTTCTTCACATTTCCCAGTAATTTACAGCACTTTAGATGCTTATAAGTACCACATTACTTTAGATATTATGAAGTGCATAAAAATGTTCTCCCAAATATTATGCTGAATTACATGAAATGCACTTTAAAGTGCAGATTTTTCAGTAATAAGCAACTCTGACATCCAAGGTTGTGTTTGTAGGAATGTATGTTAGTACAACAGCAACCAGCTATTCCATTTCAGCCTGGACTTCTCAGAAGGCGAGCACCAAAAAAAAGAAGTCAGAGTGGGGAAGAGATGGGGAGTGAGGAACAAGCTCCTTTTTCTCATAGTTAAGAAGTTGTTTCAGCTAACGCTGTCTCGTGCAACCAAAACAATCATTTGCCAAGTAATTCCCACTGATAAAGAACCAGATGAATGTGGTATTTAGACTCACTGCAGAAGCACTACAGAATTAAGGACTCTCCCTTGCAGCACTGAATGCTCCTCCTTCAGAGCAACAGCTCACAGCAGGCTGTCACCGTTGTGTTCCTCTGATTTTCCCTGCCTGTTGAGAAATGTCACTAAATTGAGCAACTTCTCAGGTTGCACAAAATACGGGTTCCTGTTTGTGCCTGCAGACATCTGCTCTCACCTGAGGAACTCGCCTTGCTCAACTCCTCCAACCTCCCCAGCAGAACTGCTGTTAGCACACATCAAAGCAGCAATCTGCACAACAGTAAAAGATGTTCCTGTTTGGGACTGAAACTCTTAGCACCTCTAGCCCACTTCTGTGTTTCTTACATAGTTCTCCACTTCCAATGACAAGGAAAAACAGAAGTGGGTGAACACAATAACACCAACCAAGAAAGAAGCTTAGAGAGAAGTTGAGAAAGGCAAGAAGAGGCCGCAGTGCCTCATGGAAGCAAAGCTAGGAGCTCATTTATCCAGACTTCTCTGACCACCATCTACCTGATACAACAGCTGCATTTCATTCACGTGAACTTTAAGCAAGACTTCTCATACTCTCTGATTACCCCAAATTAAGAAAAATGAATATGGCATACACGCAATTAATGCTTTCAGATGCTCAGACCTGACAAGCAAACATCGTGTTCAGGACCTTAGTTTAATTCCTTAGCTAAGCTTAAAAGTGTGCCACCTTCACCAGAGTAGTGCTTAGTTAATGCAAAAAGAGAACACAGCAAAGCTACAGACAGAGCCTGCAAAGGGGAGAGTGCACTGTGACTCCCAGCAACTGCTCACTGCAGCTGTGGACAGCAAAGCTCCTAACCCAGAGCACTCCTTGCTCAGCACTGACAACATCAACTGGCAAATTCTAAAGCTGCTGCATTAAGATTGATTTCTCTGAGTGAAATCCTTTTGAAATTCATTGTTTGTATCGCTGTCAGTTACTTCTACAAGTACAGTCAGCTATGGCACTCAACTACAAATAAGAGACATTGTCATGTTTTAAGCAACTTATCCAACATATGCACATTAACCAACAGCGAGAGCCCACCCCCAGCACTCAGAGATTTCAGCCAGCCGTGGGTTTTAGGAAATAATCTCTATTCTGCAGCTATGCCTCCAGAATGAGATGGGGTGCCAGGCTGGGCACAGGAGCTCTGCTTCATGTGGTGACAGGACAACAGCATTCGACTGAAGGCAAAGCTGTTGTGTGTTTTACAGCACCGCTTCATCCTCTGCGCATCTCAGAGATGTCTGTGATTTCATTTCATGCTTCTCTTCCAACACAGCGCAGTGTGGGGAGCTGAGCCTGAGTGTTCCAACTGACACGGGGACACTTAGCAACTACTGCCATCACCTGTGCACGGATCTCATAGGAGAACTGAGCTTCTGCAACCAACTCCTGGGAAACAACCTTATTATGTGACAGCAGGGAGCCAATGCAGATTTATGCTGCTTCATTCTGGTTTCCAACACCTGGATTTGTTTTCATTTTTTCTCCTGAGGAAGTGTTAGTTTGCTACAATCGGGGGCTCTCCTGCCACGATGCTGAAAAAACCCTTTCCATTCCTACTGCAAGGTTTTATCTCAGATTTATAAGATTTTTTAATACCAGTAAGTCAAGTATCTGTACACCAACAGACAGGTAAGCGTGTTCAGTTCAGAGAAGTGCCCGGAGAGGTTCAGTTAACACTGCTCTTTATTGTTTGGTAATTCAATATTTCTGGCTGATGGGGAGGAAAAAAAAGATTGAATCGCATCAGACTAGTAAGCAATTATTCCCTCCCTCAAAGTAAAAAGCCCTGCACACATCACATGGAACCACAAATCTCAGCAGTGCTCAGCAACCACACACCTGCTGGGTGAGCACAGCGCTCTGCCCCGCAGTCAGTCACCTTTGCTCCAAAGGAGCGAGATGGCTTCAGAAGCTGGAGCAGTACGAGCCGGCAGCAGCGAGCTGCGGGATGCACCAGCCTCATCCCGGCACATCTCACCTACGTTGGTTCTGCACGCGGCTCCCGGAGCAGCCAGGCCCGGCTCCCGGCCCGCAGCCCTCACCCCGCAGTGCCGGCTCGCCCCTTTTAAGGCTCTTCTCTCCTCCCACCCGAACCGCCTCCATCTTTCAAAAGTTGATTTCATTGTCATCCAAGTTACGCCGATACTCTACAGCCTCTCAAAAACGTAGCGATGAAGTCCCGGCTGCCGCCGGCATCGCAGAGCCGAAGGCGCTCCGCCCCGCTCCGCTCCCGCTGCCGCGCTGCACGGTGCCAGCAGCATCGCCCCGCGGCCGCAGCAAGGAGGGCCGGGAGAACGCCGGGCACCGGAGCTTCGCCTTTCTTTGCCGCTACAGACACGTTCCCGCGTTAGGGCGCACCTCTGCCGAGAACGGCCGGGCCCACGGCGCGGGCCGAGGAAGAGGCGGCGGCGGCGTGCGCGGCTCCAGCCGGGAGCAGAGCCGGGCACGGTGCGCCCGTTTCGGAGCGGAGCGGAGCGGCCCGCAGCCGCTCGAACCCGCCGGGGCTGCGGCCGGCCGGCACGCGCTACGGGACGGCGCTCGGCAGAGCGGCGCGGCGTTAAAGCCTCCCCGAGCGCGAGGCGGCGGGACTTCTCTCCGCGCCGGGACGGCCCCCCGCCCGGCTCCTTACCCCGCCGTCATCACCACGTTGTAAACGACGAGGTAGGCCGTGGCCAGGGCTCCCGGGCCCTTCCTCCGCCGCGGCTGCTGCCCGCCGTAGCCGTTGTCCGCCCGGCTGCCGCCGCCCGCCGCCGCCGCCATGTTGCGGCGCTCTCGCGGCCTCCGCCCGCTCTCGGCGCACGGCGGGAGCGAGGGGCGGGGCTTTCCCGGCGCCGTGCTCGGGGGCGCCGCCGCCGCCATCTTGGAGGAGGTCCGAGCGGGATGCGACCTGCGGGGTGGGAGGTCGGTCTTCGTTTGCGCCTTGAAAGAGGTTACAAATAGTGACCCGCGGGATGAAGCGGGGCGGCGAGTTCCTCGGAGTGGGTTTTGTTTGCAGAATGGTTTGTGAGAGTTTTCGGACAGTGATTTGTTAGCACCGTGTTCTCAGCCTTCCCAAGAAGCATTCCCAGAAATGCTAGACGAGCGGCTCGCTTATTATTCACAGATAGTACCGCAAAAATTCTGTCTTGTCAAAGCCCGGCACTGCAGAGGAGAGAGCTGTGGCAGCCACGAGCAAACAGAAGCACTGCAGGGACCTGCGTCCCTTGCATGGAACTTGCAGGTGTCTCCTCATCCACCCGCTGTGTGCGCTGGGTGCTCGTTACCGACAGGACTCTAATTAGGTCAATTAGGTTTCTGCAAATCCAGAAACTCAACTAGTGAAAACCAGCCAGTCCCAAATCTCCAATGCTGCTTAACAAGACTGAATTTTGTACAAAAGGAAAACAAAAAGGATGAAGCGATCCAACCTGTGCAGCATCTTGCATAACCTCTGCTTCTGGGGGTTGTTTCAACCCTACCACACCCAAAGTGTGGCTCTCTGCAAACATCTTACGAGCTGGACGAGGGTTATAGGAAGAGGTAACACCTTTTATGAGACCATTTGGGATAGCTGGCAAAATTAGACAGGGTTGTAAATACATAAAGATACCTTCTGTTGAGATAGAATAGCCTCTCTCCTGTTCTTCAAATTGACAACAACAAAAGGTTAAATACAAGTTGGAGTGAATTGCTTAAAGCTGAATTAGGTACTGTATCACACCATTATGTATCACACCATCTCTGAAGTTTGTGATTTCATGCAGACTGAAGAAGTGATGTTAACAGGAGGCTACAGAAGGATGGTAAGCTCAGTACATGCTTGGAGAAAAAGAGGCAGTTTATATCCTGTAGGACTATTAAAGGAGGAGAGGGAATGGGACATCTGTGCAATGCCACAGTTTGTGTGTGCAGAGTTTAAAGGCTTTATTACCTACCCACATATGTACCTGCAGATCTTGCCATGCCCACATCCTAGGCGATCAAAGCTGTATCTTTTGCTGCTTTAGAAATGTGCCTATCCAAATGGAAATCAGCAGTCAGTGAATAAAGTACATTCACAAGGTGGTGGTGGAGCCCATCTTGCGAAGACGACTGTTTCAAGGGCTGAAGGTTTGCTCAAGAAACATATTGCTACAAGCAGGTGTTTCACAATCTTTGCTTTAAAGAGCTTCTATGTGGTTCTGCCTGGTCCGTGCTGCATCGAACTGCACATTAAAAGAAGTCAGCATAAGAGCAGCACAATTATACATGCTGAATGCTGTTATCTTTACAATTTGTAGGAAAGCTGGTATGAATGTGTCTACTTTTTAACTTTTCAATTTTTTTCCTCTTTTTTTTTTTTTTTTTTTTTTTGCTCCTGCAGACTTCCTGAACTATACATTTCCCCATCATAAAGGAATTCTTAACTGTAAGAGAAGAGCAGAGCTGCAGTGGTGTCCCATCCCATTCATGTTTGCAGTCACTGTGAGATACGCAGTAAGGCTGGAGACCTGTAAGTGGTACCAGCCCCATGCTGCACCTGATTGCATTGGGCACAGCAGCCTCCTGCTGCACTCACAAAACAGGGCAAGTGCAGCAGCACCGCAGAGACTGAGCAAGTTTCATTGCTGTCACCTCACCCATTTCTGTGCCAGGCAGGTGTGAGGACAGAATACCTCTGCTGTCAGTTTCCTTAAGCGATGTGAACACAGTAACGCCTGCAATAGAGTATACAAGTAGTGTGCTTTGTGGTATTATTTATTTAGGAACTGTGAGTAACTACAGCCGTAGCGTTCTCATCTTTGCAATTCTGATGGTTTAACAAACAGGGAAAACATTAGCATATTTTTATTAAGGTACAAAATACACCCCATTGTTGCCTAAAACATTTAAAAACGTGAGAAAAGCTCTGTATGTTCTAAATCAGATTAAAAACCTTTCTGTATAAGGAATCGTGGCAATACTGTGTTTAGTATAACAAGATTCTTTATCAATTGAAAAGGAAAAGACATGCTGGCAATCTGAACTTAGCAACAAAGAGTAAAGCAATTAAAAACCATTGTGTCATCCACATTAGTTGAGCTTTGAATGCAGAAGAGCAAATCATATGAAACACGTACACAACTCGGTAATATCAAACAACCTAAGGCTGATATTGTACACACCTGTAATAAAGTACACTGCCTACTTAACTGTGAGGACTTAAGGTATTCTTTTGAAGAGGTAACTTTTGAAATTGTTGCACTTTACACACAAAGTGGAAAAGAATCACTTTTGGAATGATACATAAATGTAAGAAAGACATGCTGCTTTTGGATTATGCATATCACCTTACAGCCTCTGATATTACCTCTGAACAGCAACAACAACAAAAAATAAAAAGTGCCAATACTGTGAAAGGAAAGCAAAGTTATTAAGTCTTGAGTGCGTTAACCATTTCTGAAAGAAAGCTGGGCTCTGGGGTTTTTTGTTTTTTTTTTTTTCTGCATTTTTTAAAAAGGCAACAGCCTTAGTGGTGCAGGTTCTAGACAAAAACAAGACAGTCAAGCTCATAGGGTACAAATAGGTCCTATATACGTTAAGATTCTTTGGAAACTGCTAAGTATAAAGGAGTTTGTAATCCAGACTACTATCTTTTTGGCTACTCCAAAAAATCTGCGGGAGTTTCCAGCTTATCATCAGTTGAAATCTGTTTTGCAATTGCCAAATAAATGCAAGTAAAATTTTAACTAACCTGGGATTCCATTCACACATCTGCACGTCAGAGCCATTCACTGACGGTGCAATAACCTATTTCTCAGAGCAGCATATATATAAACCAATAGGTCATTATTAAACTGACCAGAAAAAGAAAAAAAAAAGAAAAAAAGAAAAAAAGAAAAAATCACCAAAACAAAACAGAAGATATTCTGTCTTTGTGCTTTCAGTCTGTTTCTTAAGCAGGCGTCTGTAAGCGCCCCGACGTGCCAGGTTCTATAAGGGAAAGCTGACAGGTACCATCAGCTGGTTAAGCACCAGGAGTACCTCAGCAAAGCCCACTGATATTTCAGCTTAGCCAGCATTAGAGCTGCACCAACAGCAGGGCAGTAAATATGTTTGAAGTTAAGACAATGAAACAATGTTTAAACCAGATGAGAAATGAACCGTGGCAACAGGCAAATTGCAACACTGGCTGTATCAGACCTTCCCTTATAGGAGACACTGCTCCGGGAGCAGTTTCTTTGGACTGGAGCGATGCACTGCACGTCTGGCAAATGATTCCTTGTAAAGGAGACCTTAGGGAGCCCACTTAGCTGCAGTTTTGGCTGAGAAAATGATGGTATAGAGCAATGAGCTCAGTAAACAGACCTTTTCTTTAAGAAGCTCAGAATATAATTGTAGACTTGTTTTCCATACGTTCTAATTTTAAAGATAGACTGGACAACTTACTCGATGACTTGCTTAAATGCTAGTAACTTAAATTGCCTGCTGATTTCAATTAATGCCCGTACATAAAGCAAACAGGTATCAACTGATCATGCTGAAAAAACAACCCCTCAAAGACCTATGTATCACACAAGGTGCTTTTGTTAACTTGGTTTTCTGAGCCTTATAAGGAGAGTCTTTAAATATATTTTCTTCTTTTTTTTTTTTTCTTTGAGCCTTGTTTCATTCTTCCTCCTCCTCTTCATCTTCTTCTCCTTCTCCCTCTTCTTTCTCTTTTTCCATTGTTTCCACAAGGAGTTCTGCGGTGCATGTGGCTTCCCCAAGGCTGTTAACAGCTTTGCAGGTGTATTTGGCATCATCGTCCCCACATACTTCAGAAATAGTCAAAGAACAGTTCCCTTCCTCATCATAATCTATCTGGAAGTGACGGGACTCCTTGACAGGCTGATCATCTTTGAACCACATTACCTCAGGGTCAGGATAGCCTGCAATAGCGGAGAGAGACCAGCAATTGCAATAAATGAGTATTAACTCATCTGTCATTACTTTCAACTCCGATTCCACATCTGTGTATGGACATGCTGGTACAGAAATATTTCATTGAGTTTTATGTAAAATAAACGCAAATGACCTGAGGTCTTTTTTACTTTACATTTGCCTGAAACAACCTTATTATGAAGAGCAAAAAATGGAAGCTACCTCTGAGGTACAAACTGGATACCACTTACAACTGCTTTTAAAGTGACTGGAGAAAACTTTTCATATGTCTTGGTCATCAGCGAGGATGGGACTTGTAAAAGTGTATTTGAAGCTTACCTTGTGCTACAGCTTCTGTGGAACCTGCAGTTCCCAATGCTGACGTTTAGTGCTTTGAGGGGACGGTGTTTGGGGCTACAACTGCAATTCATTATCCTTCTCAGGCTGCTTTGTTTCGGCAGATCTGAACTTTCCTCCTCCCAGTCTAAGCCTTACACTCCAGCCTGTCCTGTAAGGTGACTGCGGCACTCCCACCTCCTACTTCCCTTTGTTAGGTTAAGCAAGGGAGTCTAAGGAAAGTGTTTCAGTTATGCAGCTCTACAGGAGTTTCCGAGCCTTCTGTGAAGCAAATGGCTCTGCTGTACGCCAGCAGCCAGAGCAGGGCTGTACAGTTCATGCTGGAGAACAATCCCTTATACAGTACTCTTGGCTGCAGTAACAAACTGAAGGCTGTCTCAGCCAAGTTCTGCACTGTGATGGGAGGATGGCTTTCCACCAAACAGAAATAAAGGGCCAGAATCCCTAATATACAGCAAACATTATGGTGATGCACTGGAAAGTTTGGACTGTGGGCCATGTACATCCATCTATTTATTCCATGCAGTACTTAGGCACATACCCCTCACGCTGAGCATCCACAGCAACAATAATCCATCCTCACATCTCCGCTGTGAGGTAGGAAACACAGGCAGTGAAAGAGATTAGGAGCACAGAAACAAACAAGCAGAAGGTCAGTGAGGCAGTTTCTGAATCTAATTTTAAGGTTAGATTTGTCTAACTTTTTACACATGCAGTATGGTACTAACGGTATCCATTCTGTTTTAATGGCTCTTCTCTTCCTAATCTCCAGTTTTCATTGACAGCTGTGACATAGAAACCTCAATCTCACTGCAATAGAAATGCTCACACTACCTGCCTTCAGACTGCGAGGCTGGCCAAGCTAAGCTCCTTCAGTGACTACTGGGAAACTTACTCTATCTGCATATTCCAGGCTGAATTTTCTTTCTTGATCTTGCAAATTAAAAAAAAATAAAATCACACAGTATTTTCTAGATGTGACTTTTGCAACCAGCACAGTGATATTATCATTACTACTTCTGCAAAGGGAGTTAGGGATTTCTTTACCTTTACCACAATGCATGCACGATTTAAAGTCATCTTGAGGGCAGCTGAGACCTGTCAGTCGTTTCAGACAATGACTTCTTTTTGTTCTTAAGTTTCTGGTAAGCAGTCTTTGCAATCTTTATGAGTGTACTTTTGCAACCTGTGATATTACACTGCATCTTGTTTTTATTGCTTCCACCCTCAAAAATCATCTTGCTGTTCCCACTTGGTATTCTGAATTAGTGACTCACACAGTGACTCTACGAGGCTGCTGTTCTATGACAAGCACAGAACAAGCCCATGCTGCTCCAAAGTTCTGTTACTGCAACACATCCATGCTATGACATGCAGATATTGGTAAAGAAAAATGATACCAACACAACAATTAAAAAAAAAAAAAAAAAAAAAAAAAAAAGAGCTAGGTTACAGCACAATGCAGAAAGGTGGCAGGGAAGGAAAGAAAGAGATAATGCTTATTCAGTGTACCTTCGATTTTGCAGTCAAACCTAGCAGCACTTCCTTCCACAACCTCCATGTCAAGGATTGTTTTAGTAAAATATGGCTTTACATGGGGCTTTTCTTCAGCCACTTCTTCAAGGAAAGCATCTGGAGGAGAGTGAAAATATTGTTAATTGTTTTACAATTTTTTAGGGGATATTCTCAAAAAATGCATTTCATTTATTTTTAACCAGGCAGTAATGAAAGCTGCTTTTATTTCATTTCACTTAATTCTTTGGAGCTGATGGGACGGAGAGGACGTGAGCTGCATAGCTGTTGCCAGTCTGTCACAGCAGCACAAATATTCAGACCATAAATAGAATGAAATCAACATGCAGGCCACTGTGCTATGAATAATCTTTAATTTTTCCTTGAATTTGTTTGTAATCAAAACCAGACTTCTGCTGGTCTGAGGGGAAAACTGCTTCAACTCGGATCAGTCTATGTGGGTATGTCAGAATGACTTGCTGGATCTTCAGAAGTGTCAAACATCTGCACTTCTGATTGAAATACACTACAAATCCACGCTTCTAATGGGGATCTAGGGGAATAATGTGGACATTTTATTTAAAAACTTCTATCTGAGTAGCACGGTTTACCCATCGTACAGCTCTTGGTCACAGCAAGTGTTAATGCTTCACTGTTTGCTCGCTCTCATGAGGAGCTCATACATCACTGCAAGTTTTGTATAAACATGCATTCCGAAACTGATACAGCGTGCAGCTGAAAAATCTGCCTTAATTCTTTGCCTTTAAAAAGAGAACAGTTTGCTTCCACTACTTAGGCTAGGGCATTGAGAGTATCAGAATATGAGAACAATGACTTTGTGATAGATTTCTTTAAAAAAAAAAAAGAGAAAGATAATAACAGAGACAGAGTGCAGAAATAACCAACTCAACAATCAGTCTCTTCTAGCGTTTTGCTAAGAGTTTTCCTAAGATTCCTGAAGAGGTAAAAATGAATTGCAGCGAAGTTCCTTACCTTCATTCTCTACTTTGTCTGCATTTATCGGGCTGGTAGGCGAGCTCCCAGAGGCCTTCCTCCCACTCATACCAGAAATCATTGCCATGGATGACAGTCTTCCTATTGCTCGGACAGCATGGCCTGTTTTCTAAGACATAACACAAAAGGCTTCTGATCAATCCAATCCAAAAGGCATGTGATTTTCTGTGACAATGGTGCTTCGTACAAATTAGCTGGGATCTCTGCAAACCGCGCTGGAATTGTTGGACAAACTGCTTATATATAGCTCTGATGTTTTAGGAGAGACAGAGCAGGCTGGTCTGAATTACCAAATTTAGTTGCAGATATAAACTTCCCCTGATGAACTCATACCTAAATGAATGTCTCTGTTAGCTGAGGATAAGAAGCGCTGTGCAAGAGGGGAGCCAGCAAGAAAGCTATGCACTGTTTAACTGCAACTTAGCTCTGGTGGTGGATGGGTTTCTCGATAGCGTTATGGGCTGGACTGAGTTTCATCAGAATGAATAAGCAGCTAATATGAAACGAATGAGAAAGTACCATCTGCATGATGGAAGCAGACCTCTGACAGGCTCAAGAATCTACTGCCAGGGTACTAAAATACGCTCGAACCGCAATGCCTGTAGTACAGACACGTGTGTTTTTGTACAGCTTGCATGATCTCCTAAGAAACATGCAAAACAGAACCTAAGGGGAAATATAAGGTTGATTTAACATAAATGAGTATTCTGTAGGCTACTAAAAAGCTGGATCCAGGATTTTAGTCTCAGCTACTCTAACTATCAGAATGGCACAGATGGACTGAGTGTAACGTTCCAGCATTAAGAAACAAGAAGATACGGAGAAAAAAACACGTGAAATAAAATTATTAAACCAACATGACAGTCCCATGAGAAGCTGAGTGCCTCTACAGGACAGGAACTACTGGCTTGGGAGATTTCAGGTTTGTTAAGGATAACAAAAACCCCTCATTAGTGCAGGGAGGAAGGAGTCAGAGCCCCAGAAGTGGCAAACCTATGCTTGAACTCATCGGTCTGTAGCAGTGGAACAGTCATATTACATGCATGGCACAGCCTCCTCCTTCTCACCCCCGGACACCCACA